AAGGTGTGGGGGTGCTGGTTGGTGCATGGGGGGTTAATAGGTCCACATGGAAGGGGGTTGTCTGTCTAAGGGTGCAAGGAGTCAACGGATTAAAATTACCTTGATCAGGGTGGAGGGGATAGGAAAAGCATAGCTTCAGGGCTGGGGCAAGTGGCTGGGCTTTCCCAGCCTTGGGATTGGCTCTGAAAATGGTACAAACATTTATTAGATTGTGCTAACCTATACCTTATTTAACTTGATTCACTTCCTTAGGTGAACTAAGTTAGATTGGGCTGGCCAGTTTTTGCTCTATCTAAATTCCCCAAACATCTATACATATCATCATTTAGATGGACCTAACCCTACTTAGATCAATCTAAATGTAACATCTGCACCTACCCTTTGTCTTCTCCCTGTTTGTTGCCATACACATTTAGATTTTATCCAAATCCTGGTTTTGGTCAAAATTAAGTTCCCAGAAGTTCCAAAATAAATTAGTTTTTGTGTCTGACTACTGAAGTTTGTGTCCAGAACCTTTTTATCTTTTTTAAACTCTTCTCTTCTAGTGTTTGTGGTATAACACTCCCATCATCTCCTGGCCTGTTGATTTATATATGTAATTCCTTCTTTCTACTTTTATTATCTCCACCTCCTCCATTCCCTTACATTTTATGCTCATTGTCTTTGCCTTCAAAGCCTTCCTTCAACTCTTCCTTACTTACCTGCTTCTGTCTCTTCTCAAGCCAAGTAAAGTCTCCTTTTATAAACACTGAGGGTTCCCTCTGTATGAATAGTCTTTCCAATCACATATTCAGGTAACTACCCTCTTACATGAAACATTTTGGTCATGTTGTCTATAAGAAACTAACCAGCCAATTAGGAGAAATATGAGATAGCTTATGTGTAATTGATAAAGCAATTATGTCATTGAAATATTATTATTATTACAAAGTGGCAAATTGCTGCCTATGTTAATGCATTATGCACATCTTTTCTGCACTCTCCCCATCTATTTGCTTGTTTTGCCATTTTAAAATATTAGTTCTTTTGAGGCACAGACTATGCTTTCAGTTGTGTTGTGCAGCACCAAGCACACAGTGAGACCTACTGGAAACAAGTAAATGAGAGCATTATGTTTTATCTTTTGAGAAGTTTGTCCTAACGTCCTTCCAAAAGTAGGCTGAGTTAAAGAAACTCAAAAACTGGTATCTCACTGATGCTCTTTGTCTGTTGACTCAGACAGATACCAAGGAAATAGTTATTTATTTTGATTTAAGCTTATTAATTATTGTCTCTGTACTAATGTTTTGTGACACTACCAAATGGCATTGCAGATTCTGGATATCCTGGAATTTAATTTATTTATATGCATTAGCTGCAAATACAAAAAAAAAAATGCCTAAACTTTTGTTAGAAAGTTATTCCTTATGTGTCTAGAGCTTCCATAATAGTCTCATATAAGTTATAATTACTGGGTAAAATCTGATGATTTGTTATGCAGAGAGTCTGTGCAGATGATCTCAGTGATTCCTTCTAGCCTTTAGACCTTTAAAATTATTTCCAAAACAAATTCTTATTCTCTTTGCTTCTGACAACAGACACAAATGAGTGCTGCAAAATGTAATTATGGTTACCCTTAGGGATTATATATTTCCAGCCAGGATCAGGAGCTGAAGAACAAGAGGAAGAAACACATTCCTTTTAATCACATTTACAAGTATTCACAGACCACCTTTCCCCTCAAATCAGCACCTGTGCTAATGGATCCTAGCTTGCTAATTTTGGCAAGTACCTTTTCCTTTGCCATGAAGTGCTGATGTTCACAGGAAAAGTAAGCAATTTTTCAGATTGCATATGCTGCAAACCACATAAAAGTAAATTGAACATGATAAATGTTACAAGTATGAGGTCATTCCTACACCAACATTTGCAGGTTACACAGTGGACATGTATAGACATTTAGTTTCTTCTGGGAGAGTTGCTATTCTCCTGGTAGAAACCAGAAGTGTGAGTATGTTAAAGCTTTTTCTCCTGAAGCAAAAATGGTCCCTCTGGGAGAAAGACAACGTAGAAATTGCTTCTGGGAGACCATAAGGAATGAACCTAGGGGAGAGGTTTCTATACCCTCCAGAGACTGGGGTCCCCCATTCTGGAGCTGCTCTAGCCCTGCCTGTAGACTAGGAAGGGAGAAAAGAAGCACGAGCTGTTCTCTGGCTGCTTCTCACTCTAGAGTTCCTAGTGTGAGAAGCAAGCAAGGGTTTTGCTGTACTGGTCCCTTTTCTCAGCTGCCTTTTCTCAGAGCCCTCTTCCCGCTTTTCACACCAGAGACCCCTGTGTAAGAAGTGGGTAGGAGTTGTGTCCCACTGCTGCAGTCTCCCTGGGAATGCATCCCATACTTTCCCAGACCAGAATCAACCTGGTCTCTGGAAGACAGAAGGAGCAGGGGAGAGGGAGAGATTGAAGTTCAGAAGTCTTATCCATAAGACATTTGTCAAATATTTTGTAGGTAAGCCATATTCTGGACTGTAAGCTATTTGGTACAGGGAGTGTTTGTTTTCTATATGTCTACAGAGCAGACAGTCAGGCTGGCCTCTAAGCACTGCAACAATACAGAAGTTAAATACAAGTAATACATTTTGGAATCTACACTTGTGCTAAAAGATTCTTCACATAGTACTGTTCCTCTCCACATCCCATTTTTCTCTCCTGCTTCCTATGTCATGTTCCATTATTTCCTGAGTTTGTGTTAGAATTTTTGTCTTTTTTTTGAGAAATACATTTAAATAAAAATCTTTGCTGTCTCCCGATGAATGCCCTTCTCTAAATATATTGGATATATCAACCTCATTTGCATCATCCTGTGACTGAGCAATACCTTTACTGTATTAAAAAAATCACTGTCATCCCCTGTCTGCTTGTTCCTCCTGTTCCAAGTGGGCAAAATGCACACTGCTGCAGCAGGTTTATGTAGTTTATCATTAGTTGAAATTTTAGATTATGATGATGAACCTATGCTGACACTGGCCATGTTAAAATTGTGCCACAGCTTGTTCATGAACCTAAATGTTAATTGGGTAGATTATTTTCTCCTTCTATTACTCCTTCTGTTGCTCATTCCATCTGCTGAAGACCTGCAAGAGACAATGGATAATTGACATAACAGGGACAAATGGACTGAAATATTTTCCTGACTTCCAGGCCATTATAGGGATCTAATACTGCCTTTCCTAACTGGGACCCAGCACATAAATCTTGCTCCCAACTTCTTATTTGTGTATGACAATCATTGTGGTCTATAATTAAAAAAGAAAACAAAATGGACACAGTAAATTCAGTAAATGCACCTGGTGACTACAATCAATGCTGCTATAAATAGGATGGAACACACTGTTGTACAGCATCACAAAACAGAGACTGTGATCTTGAACCCCTATCAGAACCTTGGCAATTAAAGTTGTTAAATTATATGAATAAAAGTTTATGAACATTCCTTTCACAAGAAGACTACAGACTATGACAAAACTAAATAAGCCAAAGAAAAATCTTTCTATAGGAAAGGATGTTGTATGGACCTATACGTATTCAATAGGAATACAATGGCAGAAAATTAATTTTAAATGTATGTTATTACCTATAAGTTTACAATAGCTTGCATTTTCAGTAGCATTGTTTCAGGCAAGATCTAACTCATGTGGCTTACCTAGCTTTTCCTAGCACCAGGAACCTGGTTCCCTCCAGTCATTGGAGGATCTAGGATTTACTAAATAGGGTACAACACACTGACTTTTGGACCATGGGGGATGTGGTGAAGCAGGCTGGAGGCTGGAGGCTGGCCAGGGACACCAGGGGAACCAGGCAGAGAGCTGGCACATGACGGAGGTGGGAAGGGAACGGACACTTACTTGCTACCCACAGCTGACCTGGGGAGCAGGTGAAGCCCTAGAGCTGCTCCTGTCCTCTCCAGCTGGGGGCTGTGGGAAGCACCTTCACAGGATTCTAGGCTCTTCAGGAGACAGCAGCAATGGTTTACAGGTTTCTTCTTTCAGCACCTGTTCCCTGCCCACGTAAAGATTTCCCTCCAAGGCTAGGAGTCCCTGGATGGCTAGGACAGAAGAAGGAACCTGAATGCCACTGCCACTATCCCTGGCCAAACTGGGCTCCCTGCATAGCCATTCTCTTCAGTCTGGTCAGCCAAAGACCATGACAGTGGCATCAGTGAGAAAGTGTGCTCCTCCTTCCAGTGGCTTCTGGCAGCAGGGATATAGTAGTAAGGGAGTGACAGAGAGCTGGTGTAGGCAGAGGAAACTCACCTGCTGATGCTGCTGTTCCTTGCCAAGCCTGGCATCCCATGCTGGTGCAACTTGAGGTTGGAGCAAGGAAAGAGCAGCTCTGTGGCTGCCCCCTGTCCCTATGTCAGCTGGAGACAGAATTGATCGTGATGGCACCCTCTGGATCTAGTACCTCTGCCTCCACTTTCCCAGAGTGGACCTTCCTCTTTTTATCTTTAATACAGTTAAATTCATCCAGTTAAGAATGACACACAACATGATAATTAAGGGCATGTCTACACATGCATTTACATGGGCAGGCATTAAAGCACATTAACACTGTGTGTGGACTGACTTGCAACTATAGTTAGTCACAAGTCTGTTCACGCATACAGTGTTGCTACATACAGGCATCTACATGTGTGTTACTATGCAGTAACTCATCGAGAGTGGATTTGATACCTGCATGATGTATCAAATTTACCTACATGATATATCAAGCAGGTATCAAATTTACGCTCCAGTCAGCATAGGTCACCATATTTACTGTGCAGTAAGGGCGTGCATGTGTAGACATGTGGCCGTACCGCGCAGTAATTTTGATTAGTGCACAGTAAATGCATATGTGTAGAAGTGCCCAATGAGAATCAAGTATGTACAGTTCAAAACAGTTCAAAGTTCTGTAAACTGTTCAAGTAATAAACACCTTTGCAAAAAAAAAAATCAAATGTGTGAGTTTGCAGTCAAAGCTGTGACCAGTTCTAGCCACACCTCTTCTTTCCTGTTGTGAAAACTATTGCAAAGTTTAATCTTGTGATATGCATAGGAGCTGTATCATTTAAATTCCTGACAGCTCTGTTGGACCTGAGTGTTTCCATCTCTGCTGAACTATAGGTAGGATTTATACAAAACAAATCAGAATTTGTTTTGTATAAATTTGCATGAAAAAGATGATGTTTATAGTCACAAAGTTACTCCACCTTTTCATTTTCCTTGTGTGTAACACTTCAAAATCTGAAATGTAGAAAAGAGCAAACTTGCTGAGACATGTTCAGATAACAAACTGAATGGAACTAAGAATGAAAGGCTATGGGGAAGTAGGGTGGGGAAAGAAGGGGAAGTAGTAACATAGTGTTCTTTCTTGATAACCCAGTATGTATTCAAGTGCTTTCTTTAGTCTTCCTAGTGTGAATGCACTGAAGGTAAAAACAGTAGATGTACAAGAGATCTGATAATCTAGTCAATATTTCCCTTCTTCATGGTTATCACTTAGTCTTCAGTCATTGTTTTTATGAGTAAGGACTACAATAATGGTTACAGGGATTAATCCATTATGAATTAATATGATAACATTGTGCAAAAGATTCTGGAGACCAGGGATATGCATCACTCAGCCTCTGGTACTCATCTGGCTGAATGACTAATAGCAAAAAATATGCATTACCAATAATGAAAGTATGCTATCATCAGTGTGTAAGAATAGATCTAACTGCATGGTTACATATATAGCATCAAAAATCTGTTTTAGATGCTTTGACTTGTTGAAATCTAAGAAACATAAAATACATAATTTGTATGTGACATGGTTATATGCATTTAGTCTCCACATTTATTCAGGGGCAAAACAAAAGAATATAATCAACTTAAAAATCTTTTTTAGGCAGAAAGTAATGTTTATTCATTGTGCACTCGGTAAATGAATTCTTTGTAACTACACAGTACAAAATATAGTAACAAGATGTGGGAAAATCAAGCAACTACATTTTCGAAACATAGCTGCATTAAATTGACAAGAGGTTTTGAGTGTTGAATATAAATGGCTGACTTTAAATAGTATGGATGATTTGAATTGAGTTCATTTCCATGCCAACAATATGGAGCAATATTTTTTGTCAAATTAAATAAAGTTAGTAAATAGATAATGGATTTGCATTGACTTGGAAGAAGTCAGCCAGTCATTTGCAAAATAACTTCATATTTTATCGGGTGTCCTTTACATCTTCATTTATTTCACAAATGTATCTTTCAAGGGCAATTACCTTTTTCTTCTTTACTTATGAAGTCTGAATAATACTCTGTGAGGTTTTCTTAGTGTTATCAGTTCCTTTGTGTATGTCTTGTTCAATCTGCATCTGATTTGACAGATTTTTTTTACGTTGTTGGTCTAAAATCACATTTTTTCCAGGTGGAATGAATGTATATGACCTTGAAAGAAAATAGATAAAATATTGTCATAAGACAAAAAGTAGACTTCACTGGGGCAGCTGTCACATAGGTGTAACAATGCACCTATCTCCCTAGTTACTAAAGTAAAATGTAAAACAAAGAAACTAAGAGATACTATGAACCTTCTTCACATCACATTATCTTTTAAAGCTTAGAAAGGGTTTGCTTTCTTGTCCGTGTCATTGTCTAATGTGCCCAGGATGACAAGTCTAGCAAAATAGTTTTCAACTGACCAACAGGAGATGGCTAAACTCCTTCAACCAGTTCTAAAGCCTGATGGCCTCATTCCCATACCAAGGGTCTTGTAGAACAAAATTAACTCTTGTTATATCAGTGGTGTTTTATTTTGTGAGAAGAGGCAAAGACTCAAGTAGCCATACCAAAAATGACATTGTCTAAAATAGTGTAGCCTAATAATGTTTTAACTGACTGTAAAACCACACAGATTGGCTTAGTGGTTTAAAGCTACAGCCTGCAATGGGGTAGCATGGCTATTTAATGCATTTGTAACATGTAATTTGTTTGGTCCTTCCCTCATTTATACTGTAATAAATCAGGAGAAATCACACGGTCTTAATAGAATCATTTGATGCAAGAATACTTTGAGATCAGAATCAGATCAATGCGTCTATAACTGTAGGATAAAAAGATTGCTCTGCCATCTTTTCTCAGGCTTCAGCATGCACTTCCATTAACAAAGATGTATGGAGGCCCTGCCTCCTCAAGAGGACTCTTTCTAGAAACTCTAGTTTCAGCAATAATGAAAAACTGGAGCATTCTGCCATTCAGAAGAGTACAAGGATTACTATTTTGAAAGATGTTCCTGAGTGGTATGCAGCTGAGGAAGAGAGGGATCCTCTTTACTGCACTTGCATGCAGCATAAAAGAAACTCAAAACTTATCTTCTAAACATCCTTAACAAATTCTTTTTAATTTCTTTACTTCTAGGGTCTGAGGTGGCTGATTTTGATGGGAAGAGTTGCCTGCTATACAGATTTAATCAAAAGCCCACAAGTGCATTGAAAGATGTAATTTCTCTGAAGTTTAAAACAATGCAGAGTGATGGGACTCTACTCCACAGAGAAGGACAGAATGGAGATCACATCACACTGGAATTAATGAAAGGAAAACTTTCATTGCTCATTAATTTAGGTAACAGCTATGGGGCACACACTTGTATTGCATCTATTGGATATTATTTACTTAAAAATCCTTTCATTTGCCAAGCTTAAACTATAGTACATCATAAGCTAGTTTTCTGTGGTTGAATACCCATATTGTTTTTAAAGTGGAACTAATAGTTTGTTATTTTTTTTCTCTCAAGGTGATGCTAAAATTCGTTCTGCTAATGCCCAAATTAATATCACCCTGGGCAGCCTTTTGGATGATCAGCATTGGCATTCAGTCCTCATTGAACACTTTAACAATCAAGTAAACTTTACAGTGGATAAACATACTCATCATTTTCATGCAAAGGGGGAATTCAATTATTTGTACCTTGATTATGAGGTGTGAAAATTACCTTTCATTTATTATGTTTATTACCTTTGCTATGTAAGTGCAGTAAAACAACTGAAGGGGACAAAACTGTATAAGGAACTTTGTGGTAATTCAAACTTTTAGCAAAGTTCATATTCTTAAAGAATGGATCAAAAAAAAAATGTTTTCTGAATCTATTACCCTTGACTGACAACAGGACTCTCTGACGAGATTACTTTTGCCTCATACATCATAACCCAGCCTTAGTTGTTGTTTCCAGTAGTGTTGGCAATGTACTAAGTGCTGTACAGATGTAGGGCTGATTCCCCATTCAAGAAATCTTACTTTATTTTTTGTTCGAAGCGAAAAGAGACCAACTAAGAGACCAACTAAAAGAGACCATTTCTGAAATGTTTGGGCACATCTACACGTTCATTAATGTGCTTTTGCTATTGCACATTCAATGTAGTGCCTCCATTGTGAGGTACTAGACGATGGCACATTAGCCTACTTTAGTGTGCATTAGCAAAAGCGCACTTTTTTGGTAACCCTTTAATGTGCATTAAAATAGGCTAATGTGTGTTAAAACGCATGTGCAGGCACACCCTTTGGTTTTAACATTTCACTTACCTTAAATCCAGCAGTTGTACAAGAAACACATTTTATGAAAGCCCACAAATGAATGTGTATTGCATTTGTAAAGGAGTATGTATAATGTACTACAGAGACATATAAACTATGGTCCACGAACCACTTGCTGGTGGTCCATTGAGATCTGGCTGGTCACAGTATTCTGATTCCACTTGGGTTATTGTTGAGTCTAATGAAACATCTGAGTGAGGAGGATTAATGGATTTCATCCTGCAAAGTGCTGAGCATTCTGGCAGCTTTCCAGCAAGTCACTTAAGCACACGGTTAAATGTAAGCATAAGTATCCTACTTCAACTCACTCTTCAGATGATTAAAGTTAAGTGTTTGCTTAAGTATTTTGCTGGATCAAAGCCAGGATCCTCAGTACCCTAGGGAATAAAGCCCCAAGTAAAATGTATTTTTAAAACTTTTTTGAAAAGACAATGTCCATGTTTCACCATGTAAGTAATAATACATAATTATTTTCCTAATTTCACAGTTCTTGTAACAATTACTGTCACTATGATTAAGGCTGTTGTGACTAGAGTTGGGTTAGAAATGGTTTCCATGTCTCATGAAAGTATTCGAGATTTCAAAACATTTTTTCACCTGAACTCAGTACAAAAACTCAAAACTGCAAAAATTTTGATGAACCTGAAACCTGCTTCATGTCTGGACAGTCAAAACATTTCATTGTGATAATTACAAAATGATTCATTTTGATTTAAGCTTCTAAATTTGTTTTACTCTTTTTTTAAACTATAAATTACCTGAAGTTTCTAAATGAAAAGTTCTTTTGAACAAATGGAAAACATCAATTACCAAATGTCAACAACAGATCTATTGACATTTTCAATACTTTAAAAAAAAAGGATTTTGCATTGAGAGAGTGCTTGAAACTCTGTGCTAGTGAGCTGTTTCAGCTTCCAGCTGTTGATTTAACATTAAAAAAAATGGTTAGATGAAAAAAAATCTCAACCAGCTCTAGTTCTAAGATCATAAATTGACAGAATAGTTACCCCTTAAAACCACCTCTATATTAAGCTTAACTCACACTATGAAAATGTTTAAGAACTGCTATTTGAGATATACCACATGTCACTTATTTCCAGAAGGTTATAATATCTAGTTTTGGTAGTGTTGGAATGATGATGTAGCTGTGATAGTGCAGGAATCATGCAAGAGGCAATGATTGTTGTAGGTGATATATTTTATTAAACTAACTGTATGGCTGGTATAGACTTAGACAAACTTTTGAATGTAGTGCATTCTTCATCAGATCTGATTTTCTGAGTTGTGACAGTAAGGTTTATTTTCTTCATTCATTATTTTCCCCCTAGAATAGGTATTCTAAATAGTATCCTCAGAGAATTAAGGTTTCAAGGTTAAAAGATGTTTTGATGCATAGATATGGGGGGGGGGCATGATCTACATTTTGTTAACCTGTATTTTAAGTTTTAGATACAATAATGGTGAGGAGCTAAAAAAATTGATTGATTCAGAATTGGCCAATCTCTGTCTCCTGCTGCTATATTGTTGTTAAAATGTTATCATCGACTTTGCAAGCAGATTGTTAGAAAATTATTTAATAGTATTATTGATTTCTCTTTTCTTTCTAAGCTCAGCTTTGGAGGGATCCCAATATCTGGCAAATCAGGGACGTTGTCACGCAAGAACTTTCAGGGGTGTTTTGAAAACATTTATTACAATGGAGTGAGCATTATTGATTTGGCCAAAAGACATAAACCTCAGATATACATTGTGGTAAGATAATCAAACTAAAAAACAAAGTTGTTTTCATGTTTGTCATATATTAATAAAGGGTCCTAGGAACCTGTTATTCTTTTAATAGAGACAATAAGGCAGAGTCTATAGACATGATTTTATAGTATGACTGCTTCTGTGTAGATTTCACCAGGTAACACGTACAGAGCATACACAAAAGAGTCATAATTTGGGTACTTGAGCTTTTTTAGCATAAAGCAAATGTCAGACAATGCAGCTTCTATTACATACTATTGTGTGTCTAGTTGCATCAGTGCTATAACCATTGTCTCATCACCTCTCTGGCAAACATGAGTAATAAAGCAAGTAGCAAGTACTGCTGCTGTTGACACTAATCCCCATCTCACTCAGGATGCACTCAGGAGTACTGAGTTATAATTGGCTATTTTCAGAGTGCTTAGGCATTTAGTATATTCTTTGCAACTTATAGTGGTGTCTGCAGAACTATATTTAGCCTCTTCTATTTTTATTGGCATGACCTAGTATGTGGTTGTAATGGACAGACCCCATCCAGTTATTGGGTTGGTTTCCATAGCTTATCTGAATTATCCAGATATTTGATATTTGGAGAACTGGGCCACAAAACTTACTAGGACACACTTTCTTGCAACGTTTCCTATACTTACTCCTTCTTTTCAGTCCATTAACATAAAAAACAACAAATTGTGGCAGTGATATTTTGAAATTTCTACCATCAATCACGAGACATGCTAAATAGAAAAAAAAAATTTAGTTGTAACACTATTTTTTATTCTGAAAATCTTTTTTGTTTGAGCTCAGTTCAAAATATGAGCAATCGTCTCAGTTGCTCTATCTTTCCTATAAGCAGAAATATTAGAAAACTTCCTCTGTTTTAATTTATTTGACATGTGAGCCTTTTGTCAGAAAACATACTGGAAGTTCCTTAAAAATAATAGAAAATAAATATACCTAGAATATCACTCCCTCAGTAGCCTTTTCTTGAGAATTTAATAAATAAAATGTAACTGCAGAATAATTGAAAAATAGATTAAAAATAGAATCATCTTGATCTCAACTAATATAAACTGCTGTATTATTTGGTTGGAAAATTTAGGAAATATCTTGGAATTGTAAAGGTGCCAGAAAGCACCCATGCTCTTTCTGATTCCGTGTTAAGCAGGCAGTCTGCTGGTTTGCTATGGTATCAGGCAGCTGTCCAAATGATGTGAAGGGGGAATCTACAGATGGTAAAGCTTTTAGCTTTTAACAAGGTTTATTAGTCTGTTGATTGCCTTTTCACTGTGGGTCAGTTCAGTTTACTATCCATCTTTCTATGGTTGCATTCATAAGAGAGAGTTTTTCATTTTTTCCCCCACAGAGTAAAAGAGAATAGATTAGCTTAATCTATTGTCATGACAAAGCCAGGGGCAAGTATGTATTTTCTTAGTGATATTACACCCATGCACTTACTGTGTAAAGTTCTATATAACCTTAGATGTGTAAAGGCAGTTTGTTGTGACCAGTAAAAAATGTGTGTTAACAGCCTGGGAAAAATTACTTTTAGCCATTCACAATACTGTGTGATTGTAATTACATTTAGAATGGTGCTAATAAGTGTTTAGATCATATTGTCCATCATGTATCTGAACCAAGAATCTGTACAGACATGCATAAAGTGCCCACTAACTCTGAAATCAATTTGTGCAAATCTACTGTTGACATTCTGATGCTCATTTCTTAGAGCATGTTTGCCAGATGGCCCCTAGTCCTTAAGCACATTTATCTATCTAACTCATATTTAGGTATCTAACTCAAATTTATGCACCTAACTCCCACTGAAAGCGTTTGGAGTTAGATGCCTAAATACATTTGAGGATCTGAGCCTTACCTTTTACTTGACAAACTCTACACATCCTATTTGGATGTAAGTAACTGCATTTTTTTCCTTGATTATTTATGGAAATGAAGATTATATTCTGTTCTAAATCAAATTGAATGATAGAGTGTGTATTTCAGGTGAATAAACTGAGTTTCCCAAGGACCAGAAATTCCATGTTTTATAATATTCGTTGCCCCAGGTCCAGCACTGCTTCTTCCATGTGAACATTTAATCTTCTTTAAATTGTTGTTAAATACCAGATCTTCATTGGTAACTTATCTGACATTTGAAGGTCCAGCCTAGCTCATGAAAGTGCTAGAGAGAGTCCACAGTAAAAAAAGAATAGTTCAGTGCATTCTCTGTGACACCTTTCTATCAATCTTGTCATCTGGAATTTTAACTTATTCAATCAAGATCTCCCATCTACTCTGTAGATCACCTAGCTGGGAGTTGTTCGCTATTCTGAGACTTCTCAGATACTTCTCATGGGCATGTCTAAACTGGTGGCAGTATGCTGTATCCTGAATGTCTCCAAATACATCTTAAGAACCTCCTGCTGAAACATGCCAAACATGGAAGTACACTGAGGAAGACACTAAGGGGGGTCCCTATCTAACTTATACTGAGACCTTTGTCGCTGGCATGTTTGACTAATGGGGACAACATGAGAGAGGCTTTGTGGTTATCCTGGTGTTTTGGAGCTTGACAGAGACAGAAGGTGGAAATCATGCTGCTATGATGTTAGTATCTTTTCATAATACTGCTAAACTATGTGGTTTCCATAAACGGTCTGATACAGCTATATTTGGAGTGAATTGTTGTACTCAGAACATTCATTACACTGTATTTATTTCATTTATTTACAGGGCAATATATCCTTTTCTTGTTCAGAGCCACAGATGGTTCCTGTCACTTTTCTGAGTTCCAGTAGCTATCTAGCTCTGCCTGATATGTCTGGACAAGATGAAGTATCCATCGGTTTTCAGTTTCGTACCTGGAACAAAGAGGGACTTTTGTTATCCAGTAAACTATATCAGGCTTCAGGTGGTCTCCTTCTGTATCTGAGTGATGGAAAAGTTAAAATGAGCCTTTATAAACGAGGAAAACCACAAAGTGACATCAGTGCAGGTATCAGAATCATTAAAATTTCTATTTAAAAATGATGAGTTGTATAAAAGATCTTATTTATCCTGTATCAGTGATCTGTTCTTATGATCTGGCTTTGCAATGCTTATTTATGTATGTAATCTTTACTCTTCTGAATTTTGCTGTTGATAATTTCAAAAGCAGATCTTTTTTTCTTTTTCTGCTGTGTGTGTATGTATACACTTCCAACTGTTGGTAGATGTAGGCTACTTGTTTGAGTAAGAATTTTTCACATGAGTTTGAGCAGGAGTTTGGGCCCCAAATCTGTGTATGGAATGTAAATAGTTTCATGCATTCCATAAATGTAGAACCTGACTATTATCATCTAACTTTACAGTTGGAAGACAGAAACCAGTTGTTTGTCTGAATTTCAGTGTAGATCCATCAAAGGCAATTATACTCATGCTATGGGAGTAGGATGGGGCTCTAATTAAAAATCTTGTGTAGACACATCCAGAAAGAAACTTCTGAAAGACCCAATTTACCCTTGCCATCGGAATATGCCAGGCAAAGTAATTCATATATTTCAGAGTGCAGCTTATAGAGATAAGTGCTCTGAAACTGGATATGATAGAATATTTGACAAGAAAGGGACAAGAAATACAATGAGAAAATGGACCCAAGGCTGAAAGACATGCCAAGCTCAAAATTGGAGTTCACAAAATAGCTTGTGACACAGTACATACTGTAACACACACAAGATAACACAATATTGAAAAAAATGCAAAAGCTACAATGGAAGGTATTGCTTTCCATGGGTTTGTGATCAGCAGCAGAGTATGTCTAAAATGCATAAAGCAGGCAGCAACTACATGTGCGGCAGACTGTGCAATTGTTACTATGCAGTCATTTAGTATTTGTATAAGCAAGTACTAAATGCCTGCAAAGTAACTGGTGTTACTGCACAGTACAGTCACCACACATTTTTTCCCTGATACTACTGTCAGTAGCTCATTACTATTACACAGTAATGTTGCATCATGGTTAGTGCCCAGCAACTCTACTGCACAGGAGCAATGAGCTATGGTGGAGTAGCTCACTGCTAGTGTACCATAGCATATCATGTTGATATGCCGGCAGATGACAATGGTACCATTAGCACAGAGGAGTTCCTGATGGAAAAATAGATAATAGCAGATTAATGGACTATGAACCTCAACTAAAATGGATGTAGATGCCCAAGCTAGTGTAGTACCAGAAACAGTTATATTAGCCTTAAAGAAGAGAATGCTCAAGGAGTCAAAGAGCAACTAGAATAGTCAACATACTGCGTAATATTAGGGGGTCATTGTAAGTTGGGTGAGAGGACAGGCCTTTTGCTTCTGTATTGAATGAAAAGAGTTAAATAAGAATGTAAAAAGAGCAACAATGCACACACACACGTGCACACACACATACAGGGCATAGTTTCATAGTTTCATAGATTTAGGGTCGGAAGGGACCTAGTAGATCTTCTAGCCCGACCCCCCGCCAGGGCGGGAGAACAACAAAACCCCGAAACAAGAAACGGGACTCAAATGAGTCCAGCCAGGTAGGCATCCAGCCTCTTCTTAAAGA